GCCCTGGGGGTGAGGGGCGCGGGCAGCCCCGGACGCAGACCCCCCACACCCCCGCAGTCAGGGCTCCCTGAGCGCCCCGGGCTCCGAGGGACCGTCTGAGGTCCGCCTCCCTCAGACGGGAGTCTCCACAGCCTGCAGGTGGAGAGCAGTGCGCGAGACTGCTGCTCGGCCCAGGCTGACACCAGCTTGCCAACCTCCTGCCTCAGCCTCCGGGCTGCTGGGACTGCAGTAGGAACCGCACGTCCGGCAAGATGGAATGACGTTTGGAAAGAACGTGGGACCTTAGCTAGACGTCACATCACTTAACTCCCCTGGGGCTATTCCGAGCTTAGATTAGACAAGGTGTAAAAATGTCAGCCAGGCCTTGTGGTGCACACCTGCAATCCCAGCACTCGGGAGGCTGAGGCAGGAGAGTCGCTGTGAGTTTGAGGTCAGCATCCTGGGCGACACGGTGAGACCCCGATCGATCAATCGATCGATCCATCAGTTAGGTGAAAATGCCCCGGGGTAGAGTGCAATTCGGTGATGACGGAGACGGCGGATACCGGGCTCATGGCGGGCGGTAAAATTTGTATCTGTGGTCCTCTCCATTCAGCCCATTCTTAGTAATTTTTCTACTAACACAGTTGCTCGAGATCTCCTGCAGACGAGTCCTGCCGGCGGTGACCTCTTCCAGAGCGCAGGGACGCCGCCCCCGGACTGCAGCCCTGAGCCGGGCCCACGAGGAAGACGCTCCTGCCTCTCTGTTGCCTCCTGGGGAGTGGCCCGAAGCTGTGGCTTACTCCGGCTTTGCTCAGTATGCCTGTGCCTCAGTTTCTCCCGGAGGGAAGGCTGGGCCTCGACTCCCGCCGTGAGTTAGTGAATGGGGCTCCTCCTAGTGGTCCACGGCTGAACTGCAGCGGCGCGGGCCGGAGGAGGCACCTGCTTCCTCTCCCTGGGCTCCTGCCTGCACTGCCGATTTTGTTTGTTTTTATTAACTTTCCGTAATAAAATGGAGTGTGCTCCAGTTTCCCTACTGTTTCTTCCTTAGGAAAAAAATTAGTTTGAGGGGTTGCTGGTGGCTGTGGGAGGAAAAGTGATGAGGGAGGAGCCCGGAACTTGACACTGATTTATAAAGGGAGTCTGGGGCCTGGCGTGATGGCTGTGGGGGTGCATACATGTAATCCCAGCACTCAGGAGGCCGAGGCAGGAGGGTCGCTGCTAGTTCCAGGCCAGCCTGAGCTATATAGAGAACCCAAGGCCAGCCTGAACTATATAGTGAGACCCTGTCTCTAAAAGAAAACGATGAATTGAAGCTAGACCCATCTTTCACCATGCACTAACCTATAATCAAAATGGATCAAAGACCTAAATACTAAAATGGAAACACTAAGCCAGGTGTGGTGGCGCATGCCTGTATTCCCAGCACTCAGGAGGCTGAGGCAGGAGGATCGCTGTGAGTTTGAGACCAGCCTGGGCTACATAGTGAGTTCCAGGTCAGTCTCAACTACATAGTGAGACCCTGTCTCAAAAATAAATAAAATGGAAACGCTAAACCTATTGGAGGAGAGAATAGGTAGAGCACTTGAGGACACAGGAGTTGAGGACAAAGATTTAATAAAACCCAGATCACATGGGAACCAACAACTGGGATCTCATCTCACTATAAAGCTTTTGCACAGCAAGAGAAGCTACCAGCAGTGAAGAGACGACCCACAGCCTGGGAAATTTGGCGGGGGGTTGGTACCAGGGATTGAACTCGGGTCCTTGCACTTGTGAAGCAGGCAGTGGAACCACTGACCTAAATCCCCAGCCTGGCTAAAAAATTTTAACCAGCTATCCATCAGATAAAGGACTAATATCTAAAATATATAAAGAACAGCACAGTTTGCAATAGGTAAATCTTGGAAACAGCCCAAATGCCCATCAGCTGACAAATGGGTAAAGAAAATGTATGTGTGTGCTTTAAAACACAATGGAATACTACTCTGCTACAAAGAGGAATGAGCTTCAGACATTAATAACTACATGGATGCAGTTTGAGATGATATTCTTAAGTGAAATAAATCAGACACACGTGTTTGAGTGCCATGTTCTCTGGTGTGAGAAACCAGAAGTGGAAATACGGACTAAAATTGTAGACACTGGGTCAGTAATGTTAAAAAATTGTGGGTTTCTTCCTATTGTGGGCAAGGAAGGGAGGCCATCTGTATCTGGGATTGAATGAATCTTTGAGACTTCGTCTAATGGGAAAGACATCTTTGGAATGGCATTTCCTAAGTCACTGGTATTTCCTAAGCCACACAGATGACTAGATGCGGACTGTGTATAAGAATGGTGCCTTTGGGGCCACCCACTTTCCGGTCCCCCTTCTGTCTCTCTTAGACAGAAGCTTTCTTTCTTTCAATAATTTTTTTCCTACTCTTAAAAGAAGAAAGAAAGAAAGAAAATAAAGAATGGTGCCTTTTAAAAATATTGATGGTCCCAGAGTCTGGTTTTCTACCCAAAGGCCTCATTTTAGGTTTTTTTGACATCTACTTAATCTGACAGTCTGAACCCTTTTCCTCAACTGAGCTCTGACTTTTATGCTCTGAGACAATATCCCACAGGACTGGGGGTCCTCCTTAACCATCTAGTCTGTCTTCTGTCTAATCTATGTAAATTGTGTGATGGCTGCCTTATGTAAAATTTAGTCAGAATTATTGTACATAGTTTCTTTTTCTTCTTTTCTCTCTCTCTCCCTTTTTTTTTTTTTT